GCAAGGCTTCTGTCGAGATTTAACTAACTTTTTTCAATCATCAAAAGGATCTCTATGGACATTCTCAGGATGTTATAGATTATAGAATGTTCTTAAAATCGATTTCCAGAAGGTTTCTATAAATATTTCTGACGATTCCAAGATATCTCGCCAAAGATTCTAAAAAGTAACATTTTTAGAAAGCTGTCTAAAAACATTTCTTCAATTTTTTAAGGGATCTAGCAAAATTTTAAAATAATGCTATGGAAGTTTCTAATTTTTAAAAACTCCTGGACAGAAAAGGAAGATTTTCAGGGAGCTTTTGCAGGAGGCTTCTAAAAGGGCATATCAAAGGACGTTTCAAAAAACAGAACATTTTAATCTTCACCGTGCTCAAGGATACTAAGATGATTTGAGGATAACCCTAAGCAATTTTCTAAAAATACTTAAATACACTCTTAGGCAGAAATGGAATTAAATAATACAAACAAAGAAGGTTTTTATGAGGGCCTTAAAAAATGCTAAAAATAGTTATTTATGTATTAAGGGCATAAGGGCTTTTTAGTCGCCCGAGAGTATAAACATCAGTTTATGCCCGTGGTACATACACAATTTTATGTTTTACAAATAGTTTCCTCGTCAAAAATCGTTTACAAAATAATTCATTATGTTTGATCGAGTATCTATGCGTGGTTCGAATTTGTTAATGTGATTGAAACCATCCAAACGTCAAACGTAATTTTAAATAATTCAATTCATTGTGAATGAGCAAGAAGTTCCAGAAACTATACGAAATAAGGCCAATCTTGTGATTTAGTAGGTATTGTTTCTAATTTTCAATGACCTGCAAATATTTGTTTGTTTTGTCATTAAGTATAAATGAGTTACTATGGTGATACTTAATGCCCTAGGGCATAAAGTGGTACTTTATGCCTGCGTATCACAGATATAAAATGTGCTATGATAGGTTAGTAAGACATAAAGGTTATTTACCAATTCTACAAAGATTTCAGAGAATAGAACATCTCCTCCGTCGTTTTTTAAGGGTTCTCAGAAAAATATATAAATGTTTCAACAAAGATGCAAGACAGGAAAGGGAGTAAAAAAATCTCCATGAAAACTTCAAAGGATTTTTGCAAAAGGGATTCTAAGAGATTTACATTTTGAAAAAGAGATTCTTCAGTCGTTTTCCCAGAATTCTAAATGGATTTCAAGGAAACTTTATAATTATTTCTAAAGAAAATTAAAAAATGAAATTTTTTAAATGTTTCATATGCTCTGTCAATGTGGATATCTGCATGAAGAGTTATGGGCATTTGAAAAACCTCTTACGTCAAATCGGCCCTTTTTTTTACAGATTTTGCCCTGTAGAATCAAAAACGAAAGAAGAAAAAAGATTGGTCGACTTCACCCAAAATTATGAGCAAATAAAAAGAGAGGGAACTTTGAGAAGTTTTGCCTTTATTACTGATCAATATTGAGTGACTCAAAAACCTTAAAAATGAGTATTTCCAGGAATTCGACGTTCTTACTGCCCCTCTTCAGGCTCCTTTGTTAACTGAGGATAGAGACCGGAGCATACAAAATACCACGAAGGCGTAGAAAAACTGGCCCTAATATTTGAAATGTGCCTGAAATGTATTGACTGTGATTTCCGAAGCTCTAGATAAAGTGTAAAAGATTTCAAGAAAGGGTGGGTGCTTTAAAAGGCTTTCTATTGCTTGTTGCTCTGAAAAGCATTTATAAGACTCTAGAACGCATTCAGAAAAATTGTTTCCAGAGATTTCATTTGCATTCCATGCATTGGTTCAGGAATTTTCGAGATCTTTGTAGATCTTTTCCAAGACTTCTTAGGTTTTACCTTTTGCGAAGCTTCTCGAACAGTGATGCACTTTTGAACAGGCCTGTTTAATAGAACCAGAACAGACCTGTCAATATGAAACAGGTGGGTTTGACAGGAACAAATCTGTTTAGTATTATCAGCTCTCTTGGCCTATTGCAATTAAATAGGCCTGTTAGCATGTCTGGCGCATCACTTGCCATTTGTACAGATACGTGCGTTAGAAACTCACTGCCTTGGGAAGTTACGTGATTGTCTGGCATAGGTGACCCTTGAACTAATTTCGAATTCAACATTCAAATGAATTTATTTTTTTATTTTATAGCATATGTTAAATTGACATTTTAATAGGTTTGAATGAGTAGGCTAAGCCGTTCTTTAACCGTAGATAGATAAAGTAATCACTTTAACCGTAAAGCTAGATGAAGTGAAACAGATGACTGTGCATTTTAATGATATCTGTCATTCTTATTTCAAATGCACTATATAAAATGACGTTCATAAAATATGACAATTCTGTTTCTATGGAAACGATCGCGAGGGCAGAACGTAAGCTTGCTATTTTAAATTAAATTCAGAATTGTCAGAAGATTTATAATGATTTATATGGCTTCTGCTATAAAATAAAATTTTGTATTATACACGACGATAAAGGGAAACTAACCATCTCGTGAAAGTGAATTCACTCAATTGTTAAAATATCCCTTTATCGTCTTGTATAATAAATAACTATTATCCTTTATCTCATTTCATAAACATCCAATATGGGATCAATAAGAAATAAAAAAGTAGTAACCTGTAGCTTCTACAGCTAGCTTGTTATGGAAATAATGATAAGATTCCGTCCATTTCCGACCGTTTAAGCTCGGGAAAATGAAAACAAAATTGGCGTTTTAAGTTTTTCGGTGACATCTCAGTTATTTTCAAAGATTTAAAAAATTTAAATGCCATGAGAGGAAAGATTCAATGTTCGTTTCGATGAGCGTATAATTTTCGTATACACTGGGGCCTGGAGGTATTCTATACCCCCTGACCCCAGCTGGAGTCTTGCCGAAAAAATGTAGTTAGAGGTGTGAGACCACTGAACTATACATATACTGGAATGCGCACTGCCGGTCTCTGCCATAGAAACGTAGAGCGGCGAGAGAGATAGCTCTAAACGCTTTGCGCATGGGAAACTGGTCATTCATACCTAATATCAAATCACCTGCTCTATGCATGCGCGAGAGTAGAGATCCCCCTTGTGGTCCTCTCTCTAGGATAGCGCTGGCGGAACGCGTGTTCAGTGTGTGAGACAGACGGTTTTGGGGGGAAATGTAAGATCGGGGATCCCAATACCCCCCAGGGAAATCCATCCCGGGAATGATTCATTGTGCCCTCGATTGTTTCTTATTGAATGCCCTTCTAGTATAAAAACAGTCACGTATGTAGCCGCCCACTGCCAAACTGGTCTTAACCCATGCGAAGAAAAAGATAGTTTTGCAGTGGGCGACTACCTGCGACTGTTTTTATACACGACGGAGTATAGCATATTATATAAATCTCCAGGCCCTGAAAACGTAATGAGAGCTGTGGGACAAACGGTTGGGGGGGGGGGCATTCCATTCCACATTAACACCGCCCCCTCCCCGCCACTCATACCTCTTCGTCAACGAACTTAGCACTGGGGGGTCTGGAGCCATAACCCCCAGTATATATGAAGATCATACTCTAATTGAAAGGAACATTGAATAAGTTTCATGAGACGGGTTTTACTGGGGGTGCTCTGACGTCTTGCCGAAAAACCGCTTATTTTAAATGATTTAATCGATAAAATAGCAAGGGCCTTTAATTTCGATCGGAAAACTACTTGTCTGAAACCCGGAATTTGCAAGATTGAAAGGCCACCTCAAAAGTTTTTGCCAATAGTGCATATTCCACATGTACAATATCATCAATTTATTGTTCAATTTTAACGCTTGTTCACTGTCATGGAGTTGCAGTGCTAATATTATTTAATATCAGTTAATTAGTTAATCAGTTAATTAATATCAGTCTAAAAACTGGCAAATGGAACTCCATTCCGATGTATTTATTTTTAGATTAAAGAAAAACTGCACATGCACAATTTTTAGAAGATGATTTTAAGTCAACATTCGTTTACCACAAATTTAAAATGGCGATACAATGGAAAATCGGCGTTAATGTAAATCGATTTACGGTGTGTCTCTGTGTGTCCCCGGCTGGTTTAGATTCAATTGGGCTCGATCGGATTATAGGATTTTTTTAACTTCTATTTTCGTTGATGTCGCACTCTGCTATTTCGCGTACCGCGATAGATACATGCACTAAGTCACTTGTGTTGTACCGTGCCGATGTGTTTACATTTTTACATTCTGTACGCTAGGTTTCCGTTATCAGATTTCCGTTATCATATATCCGTCAATACCGAGCGTACAAAGTCGCAGGGGAAAATCTAGTAGATTGAGTATTTCCAAACTAGTCGATTAATCGCCTTTACGTCAAATGTTCGGTTAAACTACCTACTGATTAATCGATTAATAGACGGGTACCTACCAAAAAACTCCATCGAAGTACCTATACGTGAAGCCAAGCCCTTAATTTTGTTGACAAGGGTACATGGAAACCGTTATAGAAAATAATGGAAAATTTTATACCTCTCCGTATAAAGATTCTGGATTACGTAAATAATGTAGACTTTAGTTATACTGAAAAAGTGTATTGCCTGTCCAAGTCAGAGCTGAAATCTCAACATTGGAAACTCGGGGAAAGTATTTTGACCCGCGATTAATGCAAAACAAGAACTTGAATTTTTATGATCGACATTCGTTATTTGCCCCAACTCTGAAGTATAAAATGCCTTTTCTGAGGCATCCTTGCGTACCTATACGGGCCGGAGCAGAAGGAAACAATCTTGTTTATCAAAATGTCAATTTTATTTATTCCCCATGCTTATTATTGGATCATTTTGATACTAACCTACCGTGAAACTCGAAGCAGTATCCGTAGGTTTTTGAAAATTATTTATTCATCAATCAAGACGAATTTTGTTGCGATTTTGTAAAAGGGAGCCGGATTCATTGTGAAAATCGTTCACAACCAACGGATCTTAAACCTTTTGTGTAAGTACCGAAACCTGAAGCGTGTCTAAACCTAGACAATAAAACGGAATTAACCTTACCCTGAAACGGATAACCGCCGAAAATCGGTCTTATATCCATTTCTAATTACACGTTAATAGCGTATCGTTGGTCAATTCGAATCGTCCTCGTTTAACAAACATCACATTTTCACCTTGCCATTTGAAAAATCCCCGAAAATTGTTTCTGCACCTAATACGAACAAAACTCTATGAGTACAAAACGCAAACTGGATTACAAAGCATAACAATTTTCAATTGACCAAAGAAAAAAATCGGTAATTTTGCAACTGGTTGTAAAACGATCCCCTGTACCCATTGGTTACCGATGCTCATATGCCCTATTGTATTTAAAGAAAATAATTTTGATGTCATATATAGAAGTTGTTTATGACTATTTTTAGAACAACTCTTCGCCAATACTTACTTCTAGGAACTTAAAAGTGCATGCATGCAATAGGAGGGAACTTTTGCATTATTATTAAACTTATGGGCATCGGCGGGTTTTAGAATGGGAGGTACGTTCGTGCGGTACGGCCTTCGGACTTGATAAATATTGGTAAAATGAGTATTAAATTAGTTTTAATTATTTTCGTGCATGCGAAACATAAGATGGCCTCGCGCAAAATAATTTTAGCCCCCGGCCGCGGGCCTGAAAATTATCCATTTCGCACATTGTGCGTCCGCGTATTTTTGTTCTACTTTCCAGTTTTCCTCGCAAAGTGTTCACTTAGCATGATTGCTCTTCTCAAATAACGAATTGAAAGGTTTGTCGATAAAGTTGTACCTAGTTACTTTATTGAGTTACGTGCCAGCTACGGACTGGCAAGTTCAAATCGTGCGACATTCGGTCGGTATCCTCATGGGGCGGCAAAGGATCTTTTAATTTTAATGTTGTTGAAAAAACATTAATAAAGACTGTATGTACATACAAATTTGGTGGTCATTAGATTTGGCTGCGTGTTTTCTCATTTAACAAAGAACCGTGTGTACTCTCATTTCCGAATAAACGGCTGACCGATTGGAACCAAATTTGGTTCGCATATTCTTAGACATACTTAATAGGAAAAAGCTGAAAAGCTTTTGAGCAGAACGCGGATGCGCAGATGTGCGGGTGGTATTTGTGCTAGCCACAGCAAATTTTTTCTAATGTTATTTGGACAGATACAAAGAAAAATTATAAAAAAGACACTTTCCTATTGCCACTTTTTAAGCTCTACAAGATACCGAAATTTTCAATACAACGGAGAAATCATCATCAACTTTATTTTTTGGCTCGTAAAAAAGTACACACTGTATTAAGTAACATCTTTTATTACGAATACACAACAGGATGATACACCCGTGCACAACGCCTTAATCGAATAAATTTTCCCATTTTTCAGGAAATTAGTCTGATAGGTATTCTCGCATGATTAGGGCGTTGTGCAGGGCACGCCATCCTCTTGAAACTTCCAAGTTTTGTTTTTTGTGTGCCGTATGTCGTTGTATTCGCAATGCAAAAATGCTATTCAATATACTGTGTCCATATAAAAAAAATATAAATAAAATGTCTCAACGGTGTCTTGTAAAGCTCAAAAGATGGCAATAAGAATGTGTTTTTTATTTTTCTATATCTGCTCAAATAACATCAGAAAGAAACAAAAACGAAATCGGCAAATTTCGGTTTTTCTGCCATATCTTCGGAAGTAATCGGAATCTTTTGGTTTTCTTTAATTCTTTATCATAAATGTTTAATTGTGCAACTTTTCCCTAATTCACCATCTTAATACCTTCTATGGTTTCGGAGATCTCCACGATAGACATCCTTATCTGGGACATAGTGTTTAATTTTTAATTCAATATTGCAAATTAGTATTGAAAATTACTACATTAAGCGATACGTTGGTTGCATGGCAAACTTTAAAGTTGCGTATATTTAGTTGATTCGGTGTTCAAATAACCAAACTTGTTAGTGTAGCAACTTGATGCAATTTTTCGTTGAAACGTAACTAAAGTATTAAGTAAAATGGCATAAGGAAAAGAATGATTGTTATGGATAAACAAAACGGGATGGATAACGATAATTTAAAGACTGAACGTTTATTCTAAGTTAAATTTCACAATTTTATGCAATTATTTATTGTATAACCGCCGCGATTGTTCTTTTTCTTACTGTTTTGAGATGTGCAGTGTACCACCTAGGTGAATTATTCTTTTTATTTACACATTTTACTGGACATTAAGAGTTCATTAAATGTTGCCATGAAAAGATGTAAAAACTGGCGGGGTTCGGCTGAGTGTACCTATGTCGTAGCATTTTAGTGAAATTCGTTTTTTCACGAAAAGCCTATCCATTTAGTGAAACGCTGATAATTTGACGCGTGGATAAGGCATACTATTTATTGATCTCGAAAATCGTTCAGCCCTAAAAAGTACACTGCCACAAGACTACAACATCTCGTACGAGTACACATCATGCCAGTTTCAGTGGTTCAATTCCTGCGCAAAATTGTCCAGATGTTGCTCTGGTGCTATGCTACACCTCGTGCTACACGTAATTCGTGTACACATGTTTGCTATAGTTTTGTGATTACATTATTGCTGCACGTACTATTTTTTTGTACATACATTGATAAAAATACTATTTGTCTTTCTATTTCTAGATTATACTAAAACATATTTGTATAAGTAAATGACTTAAGGCAATTTATACTAGAGGCTATAACGCATATGAAAATTACCCATAATTATCTTGAAAATACCTAAAAGACACCTAACTCTAAACTCCCGCGTAAATTAACTTAACAGTCTACAAAAACAAAAATTTAATAATAAATAAATATGTAAACTTACTTAATTGTTATCACATGGACTGGTATGCAACATTTACATGTCTTTATATATTATATACAAAAACATTTACATAATTAAATGGCTTAAAGTACGAGGGCTGCCCAGAAAAGTAACAGACGTATTGAAATAAAGAATTAAGAAAGTGTAAGAAACAACTTTTATTATATACATTTGGAAGCTACACTCTTAGGCTATTTTTCAACATAGTCGCCATTCATATTGAGGCTGCACTTATTATAGCGTGGTACAAGTGTTTAGTGTTTTGATTTCAACTTTGTATACATCGGCCGCCTGAGACTTTAACCACTGGTTATCGTCGCCGGCTTGAAGTTCGGCATCACTGCCCATGTGCTGTATTGCGAGCGAGATCTTCATCGCTGGGAAGACGTGGAAGTCGCTTAGCGCTAGATCCGAGCTCTACGGAGGGTGATGCTTTCTCCCATCCAAAATCATCCAAGGGCTGTCCAGTACGGTTGAGTGTGTACGGACGGGCGTTGTCGTGGAACAACAAAATTCCACCTCTTTCCAGCGATGAAGACCTGGCTCGCAACGGAGCAGTTTGATAGGGACGCCGAACTTCATGTCAGCGTTAGCCATTGCAGGTTAAAATCTCAGGCGGCGGATTTATAAAAGTTGGAATCAAAACACTTGTGCCACGCTATGATAAGTGCCTCAATTTGAATGGTGCTTGTGTTGATAAATAGCCCAAGAGTGTAGCTCAAATGTAAATAATAAGAGATTTTCTTTACAAGTTTAAACATTTTTATTTCAAAACTACTTTCTGGATAAACCTCGTATTACGAATAAATTTTGGTCAAATTACATAAAATGTGTGGAAGTAAGAATTATCGCAGTTGTGAAAACGTTAGATATATTTGAATATACCTAAAGTAAATAATGCGATAAAAAAACGTAAGTGGGTGTAAATCGTGCTGTTTGTGCCCGCAAGACTGGAACCATCTCCACCAGTTTGGCCCTATATAAAACAAAGTTTTTTGCTTTTCTTCATATCTATTTACAATGTCTTTAGTAAAACCTTTGTGGTTGCTTGGACTTGTCAGTGCTTTATGCTCTTCCGTTTATACACTAACTCCTTTTCAGGATTGTAAGTTTCGGTGAAAATTTTCTTTTGATCATTTGAGAAGGTTTTCATTCCTAATAAATTTCCACCGTTTGTCTTTTTTAGGTACCGAGGGTACAAAAGGGGTAACTATCAGCAATTTCAATTTGAATGACTGCCAAGGAGACCCTTGTAAAATAGTAAAAGGCACACAGATACCCGTATCTTTGACTTTAACCGCTGGTAAAGTACTCTTGCATTCAAAATCAGATCTAACCTATAACTGTTTTAAGGCAACAGGTTATTGGTGCCAGTGGCGATCTAACTATATCAGCTGACATTAAACTATTTCGGTTTGCTTTCTCCATCCCTCTCGCCCAAGTATGTGATAAGATACAATGTCCCATGGCAGCAGGTACTTCTCAGGATGTTTCACAAACCTTCTCAATATCACAACTTGTTCCATCAGTAATATTCGCACTCACTTCAATATATAAAATTAATCATTCTTTTAGGGCACTTACCAGGTTAAAATTACAATCAAAGATGCCGGAGTAAGTCTCGCGTGCCTACAATTTAACGCTGCCTTATCATTCTGGTAATAGGATCGTGACCGCGCATATCCATCGGGAGGTTAACTAAAAAATAAAATAAAAACAAGAATCTCTCGTTGTAAAAGATAAAATTTATCTATTTTTGTAAAACTTCTAAAGACAAGCAGTGTCGTGTACGCTATTGAATTACACACATAGCAAAAGTATCTTACAACACCACTTTAACCTGCAATACCATACTCGCTTCTGCTGCAAGCTTTTCCAAACATTTCCTTGTCGGGAATTAATGGCGGTGGCTTACTGCGACGATAGTAACCATATAGGTAACAAGAAGCAGCGGGAGATACGACTGGCATAGTGAGCTTTGGCGGAAAATCGCAAATCTAGTGGTTCGAGAAAAGAAATTACAGCGACTATCGCGCTGTCCAGGATACGAAATTTTTCTACGCCTTTGGAGGTAGTTGTAACTCCCAAACCCCCCTCCCATGAGTGCGCCCTTGATAATTTAAACATCTGATGTAATTACTTTCATCGTTTTGTTGCCTAGAATAGATCTTGTTTTGTTTTTTTTTAAATTCATCATAGCCTACTTGATTAAAATATAAATACCGTTGATATAACTGGTATCTTATTTTCAATCTTACTCTATGATAGCTCGTTGAAAAGAAAATTAAAAAATCTATCAAATAATCTAAAAATCCCATATGGCGCCTATTTAACTTTAGGAAGTTGGTAAATGTTCCTCGAATGTAGCCACCTTGAATTTTTTTGACATCAATTCTAAATTAGGCGTA